TCCAGGTAACTTGAAATGTCAATTGGCCTGTGGGTTATTTTTGGTAATTCCCTGGATCAACCTATTCTAAATTGCCAGGAAAACCTGTCATATATTCTAAGTTGCATGATTTAAGAATATGTTAAACTTAATTTTCAAGAGAGATTAGCAACCTCAAACCTGACACTCATACATGCTTGTCTATGAAGATACATATACAGAATTTTATCTTTGATCTGCAATGAAGACCAGAAGTAATTTTCAAGGCACATCTAACATTTAAAGTGTATGTAAGGTATCTGGAAGTAAATCACTTGCTAATCATGCCCTTAGTTACATATGTCATGCTTGTTTGTGTTTATGTGTCTATGCAAAGTGGACTTCCATAGAGCACCTGCCTAATAAGTAACAGAAATTAACATGAATATTTGATGTCTCTGAAAGTATAAAAACAAGCAAAGACATATACATGGGAGTGGAAATTTTATAAAGGAATATAAAAATTTTGTATGTGCATTATTAAGTGTCCCAACTGGGTGGTTGTCCTAGACATTCCCCAGGGGAGTATGCCTTGCCTAGGTGATATACATCTTATCTTAGTTCTGTGACATATAACAGTGTATTTACAGCCTTAGGAAAATAAGCCACCAAAGCTGTGAAAATCTTTTATCTTTTATGCTTTTTGGGACATATCCTTCAACCTATAAGAGCAAAACACTGATACTGTTCAGCTAGCATACATGTATATTCGAGTAAGAAATACAAGATGATCAAACCAACATGCACACAAGCGCTTCTACTGACGTCATAAACACATCTTCCACATAACATACTTAGACACTAATGTGACTTTTCACCCTTTAACTTTGCTAAAGCAGCCATTTCCAGCATGGCTTAAATTTCCATATCCAAAACGGCCCACTCACTACTACAAATTTTGCACACGGCACTGTACTAGTGGGCTGTAGACACCACAGGTATCAGTTAAGGCTTAGACCTTGGGTAACAGTAAATTTTCACCTTTAATGAGTACTTCTGATCTGCTGTAGAGTGCAGAGCTCTATCAGCTGCCAGATTGAATAAAATCTCTGTAGTGGTATACCATGAACATTTAGTTTATGTACACAAGTAAAAATTACCCATTCAATTATATATAAGACTTTAAAAATACAATTACATTGAATATGAAGCATCAATAATGAATAATACCAAGGCAATACATATGCACATTTATCCATTTCAAATGAAACCCAATTATACCCAAGACAAACAAAAATCATGTTTATTTTTCAAAGGTAAAACTGCAGGTACATGTAATTTGTGTTCCAACAGTACAAAGTAACTACTTAGTAACTGCTATTTCAATCACCTCCAAAATAAATATATAATCTCCATTTTTCCCAATAAAAAAAAAAAAAAAAAAAAAAAAAAAAAGGCAGCAAAGTCTCCACCCAATGCCGTTTCACCCCTAAATTTTCATTCTATAATGATTTAGTTTGTTGATTATTGATTATTGATTGATTAATGATCCGGATCACCACCAAAAACTAATCATCTGTTCCTTGGCCCACTTCTGACAGTTCCAGAAAATTCCATCAAAATCGATCCATAACTTTTTTTAAATTTTTGATTATTGATTGATTATTGATCCTGATCACCACCAAAAACTAATCATCTTTTCCTTGGCCCACTTCTGACAGTTCCTGAAAATTTCATCAAAATCAGTCCATAACTTTTTCTGTAATGTTGCTAACAGACAGACAGACAGACAGACAGATAGACATACAGACAAACTAACGGAACCAAAAACATAACCTCCTTGGCAGAGGTAATAATGAAGAATTATTACCATATCAATATAGCAATTTTTCAAGTTTTTACAAATGCAATTCCACTCTGCAAATTCTCTTCAAAAAAAAAAGTTTGCTCCTGTGTAAATGAAACCCAAGATCTGTTTTTCCTACAATGCAATGATGGGTTGTACACCATCTAGTGCTAACAGCCACTTTCCCAACTTTGCTAGACTCAAAACTAATTGTAATTTACAGGGAGAAGCTGTGCAGACATACCATCCAAGGAAAAGTATTTGTACAAATGCAATTTCCAGAGGAAACCAGAGTCTGAAATGTAACAGCAACCCTGATGTTGCTGGAAGAAATTTTTGACATTTGAATATACCTTGATTCTGGCACATCATACTGTATTGAGGTTAGATGTATTCAGGCTCCAAATATTAAGCTCAATCCACATATTATTAGAAAAGTCAAGGAAAAAAGGTCAAGGAAAAGAGGTTATGTCAGTTAAGCTAGAATTTTTTATGTGGTCTGATTCTAACCATTTTCAGGTCCTCCACAAGATGGTCAATTTTCTTAACTCCGGAAGAGTGTCAAAAAATATAACTAAATGGTCTAGAAAAGTTATACCACAATAAGCAGACATGGACTGCAATCTTGTGAAATATGTGTCATACAACTTAATAACAGACCGGCTTTTTAAGTTCCATCTCACATTTAGTGCACTTTAATAGAGTGAGAGAGGGAGAGAGGGAGAGAGGGGGAGAAAGAGAGTAATTAAATAGACTACCTAAGGTTATTACAAAACTTTTACCTGATATTTGATGTCATATCCTTAAAGGAAACACCAATTAAGGTAAGACATGGCTGAGGTCTAGGTCAGGTTATAATGATATACTTAATATGTATTATGACTGCCCATTTTTTTTACCTGCATTAAACCATAATCACAAATTTGAAATACCTCACTTATTCCATTATCCACCTTTTCAAGACATCTCACATTTAGTTACTTACAAAATCATACTTTCTGATATGAACCCAATAAATCAAATTAAAATGTTACTAATAAAATGTTATTTTGGGAAATTCATTGAGCATATTACTGGTGTATTGATTAATGAAGAGTGGTATGAGAAATGAAGTTATTGCATATAATGTCAAAACTACACAAATCAGGATTAATGCAACTTATGCCCACTGTGGTATGTCTTTTAACACCTAAACCTTCAACTTCTTCATTGCATCATACAGTATATCCCACTTCATTTTCAAACAAATAAAGGATCAAATGTATAGAGATAGGTAGATGGGTGCCAAGTGGGAGGGTAGGGATAACAGACAAAGAACAAAAGCAACCTCTGACTTCCAAACTTATGGTTAAAATAGAAATGTAGAAAGACAGACACTTTCAGTCTATATCAGCATCAGAAATAAAATGACAGCTTAATTGTGCAACAAGTGCTGCAGACACACATGAACAGAGAGAATCTGATTGACCTATCTTGTCAAAACTGCACCCCAGATGGAACTTACTTTATTTGTCTAACCTCTTCATGGTTTGGGGTTGGAATCTAAGTGTTAACTTAAACAGCTACACATCTAAATGAGTGCTACATGCTCAAAGTGGTGCAGATGTATCTTCTTATATGAAGCACTACCAATGTTATCTGTAAGTGAGACATTCCAGGAAACATTCAAAAGTTTTTGGTTGATATATCATGTGCCAGCCTGCTTCAGCAAATGCCCAGTTCCCACCTACCCACATATGTTGAAATGTTAAACTTACATGTATGTGTGTGTGTGTGTGGTCTTCATTGCTTTTACCTTCGCTTTTATATCAATACTTGTCATCTCTGTTTATTTATTGGATAAATCTGATTTCACTTAGCATGCATTAATCATTCTTAGTACTTTCCATTTATAGAACAGGGTTTCATCTTCATTAAACTCTCTTGCACATATGACATGTCTTATAGTCCCTGTAAAATGTAAAATGTTCCTTAGGGTTCAATGGGAGACAAAATGATTTAATCTAAAAAAATGGTTCAAATGATGATTACTCTCAGGGTTTATTTCAGTAGTCCAACAGAATGTAAAAATGTTAGATATTGACCCTAGTTCACTCTATCTGTTTTCCATATAGGCAATGCTTCAACAATATGATTGCTATCAAACTTTCACACCAATGAAAGTCTGAACAAAAAAAAAAGCTTTAAACCAACAATCTTTCCATGAATTAACCTTTGGTTTAAAAAAAACCTTTAAATTAAAGAACATTTGGTCTAAATGTGACCTACATCCACTCTCCAGCACGACATTAAATGAGATGATCAAAATAAAAATTCAGATCATAAATTTAACTTTATGTGACATTTTCACAAATGTTATAAAACTGTTTTACTGTCAAATAAATGGGATTCCCATCTTCTGGAAAAATACACATAAAATATGCACTGCCAAAAATAATTTTCTATAAAAATGCAAATAACAATGTAGACAATTTTGAAATATCACGTGAACCTAGTTCAAAGGTAGATGTGAAGCACATGATAAAAAAGAGGAAATACCACTGAAGTCCTTTCCCCTTATCATTAACTATTACATCCACCTAAAAATACTGTAAATTATCTCCAATAATCTGATTTTACACTTTCTTAGAGTACCTTTCCTGCTGTGCTCAATAGCAATTACTACAATCTCCGGTATTATGGACATATGTATAACCTTTACATAGCGGGGCTAGTCAATACTTCAACCATAAGAGAAATGGGAGTTACCTTTATCTAATTTATATTGCTGTGACTAAGCAAATTTTCCAGGTTTGGGACTATTACTAATGGCCAAGCAATATTAATTATTGAATCTGAAAAATCTGAAACAACCTTACTTGCCTTTAACATTAAATATCTTAGAGTCTATATAGTCTGCTATAAAATAAATATACTTTAAGCAATAAGGTTTTAAAATTCCTATTCACAGATAAACATTCACTTCAAAACTTGGAATAAAATTATTGATGAGAGTAAACTTAGTACAGAATTAGACTTGATCGTGCCACAACGAGGAACTTAGTTTAAAACACAAAGTTAATGTTCTTTTAATGGATTTGTAAGATATAGCAATACAATGTTATCACACAGATGCATTTTGTCAGCTTCTTTACCCATTCACACACAAACATGCAAACATACATGTACATGTACATTGACTATGACCCTTTCTTACCTCATCACAACCTTCACATCGAGGCTTATAAATTTCCGCAAAATGGCGCTGACAATATAGTTTCTCTTCCTTTTGACAGTAAACGAGATCAACAAGCAGTTCATCACATGTGTTGCATACAAAGCATGCAGGATGCCAGCAGACAGGGGCTTCCACCTTGGGTGCAAACACTGCCATGTCCCCCTTCTCTATCAAACCTTCACATTTGTGGCACACCTGTAATAAAAGGAGTATTATCATATAGTTTTGTCAAAATGATAAAGAAAAAATGTATCTTTATTGCTTTAGATCAAAATCTTAGTAAATTGAACCTTGACTCAATGGTCAAAAGGTGCAAACATTGCTTACCATTGGTTTGCAGATGTTTTCTAATTTATTACTTGGTATGTATATCAATGACTACTTTAATGACTATTTTAAACAAGAGAAGTGAAAATCAGCACCTGAACTTAAACCATAGCTGATCACATGACTAACATGTCATACAATGTAACGGAATTTTTTTCTAAAAATTCTGGAATCCAAAGAGATTGACATTAAAAGAAAGATCACAAGGCTATCAGCATCTGTTGTTATCAACAAATCAATCAACTAAACAGCTACAACAGTATCTTGGCCTTTACATCACCTATTGGTCAGTTAGCTGAAAATGGGTCTGAAGAAGGTCACTGACAGTGACACACAAACAAAGCATAATATCTTCATTGTATGTAATTTGAGAACTTCTCACTGACTAATTGCAACAGTTGATATTTAAAGCACAATGGCACAGCCAGCTGCAATCTCAATGAAGAAACTACACACATAATCAATTCAGTCCTCCTACCAGATCTTCCTTCACATAATCTTGCACAACTCCAAGCCCCATGGCTAATTCATTACGTAGCTCGACAAAATCCCTGAAGTTCTTCTTTTCTGCAGCACTCTTAAGACTCCTGCAGTACTCTTGGCAGAGATCCTGCCGTGGAAGTTGGTAGGTGATTTGCTGGTCCCGATATTTTTCTCCCTGGCTACCTCGCCGTGGCACTTTATCATTTGGAAGTTGGTCCATATATTCATCTATCTGTTTCAGAGAGTATAAAATAAAGGATAAATTATCAACGCTCTCATGCTTTCAGCTAATAATTACTTTTGGACACAAAAGGGTAATATCTTCAACAAAAAAATATTCTCTTAGCTTATTCTGTCCTGAGATTGTCCAATTTTCTCACCCTTGGGAATTTATGGTCAAATCATTTTTCACTATAAAGCCATATTTCATTCATTTTCATTAAAAAAATTTAAAATGATTACTATAATCATACTGCCATTAAGGTTCAATGCACTAAGCAGATTATATTGGGAGAAACTATTTATTGTAATTTTTATCAAATGTTGTATCAGATATCATAATGATCATCTGAGTAGCAATTTTTATGACAGGCGATATGTATTATTTCAAAAGAAAACAGGATTCCTTGCTAAGGGAATAAGGATATCTCAAATGACCACTTTCACAGTATTGTACAGTACAGCTTTATCTAAAATGTATGTACACTTGTATTAATTACGTTATTATTAGAATCAAAGCACATATCTTTCTTTTTTGACAACCAATCGAAATTTAGTGCAATATGAAAATATTTCAAAATGAGATAAAGTTAAATTCTCAGCCAGTAAAGAATAAACAGGTAAACAATTAACCTGCATTAAGAACGATAACTTTTCAATTTTGCATATGCTGTTTGAAACATATATTCAAGTAGATAAATATATAAATATATGATACAAATGACACAACTGAATGAATTTCTTTCTTACTCCAGGATAAATATATAATGCAACTTGTTCTTAGACTTTTTTTAATTGTCACATCCATTTTAGCATCAATTATACAAGTTAAGTAGAAGAATAATCTATATCCTTTTTATCAGATTAACATTTCACCATGCTCATTATAGATTTTTGAGGCTTACAGAACTGATTAAGCTAGGTGTTAATCTCATCCCTTCGCATGTTTTAATTACTTTCTGTGGACACTGTGGTTTTGTAAAAGGCAGGGTAAACCATAAAGCATATCTACATAGTGGCAGGTATCTAAGCTACAGTGTTTCAAAAATAACATGGTCCTTAATCAAATATAAAACAGGCCACACATCACATTAACGATATCAGTTTCCAACACAGTTTGAAATGACATCACTCAAATGGATGCCAATTTCCTAGAACTTCTGTTGGGAGGAAACTTTCAGTGCCATACGAAAGGGAAAAAAGCAGATACAATATCTCATATTCAATTCTCCACGACTTCCCAGGTTTAATTACTGAGTGAAGTATCCCCGAGCAATGATTAAAAAAGGTATCTGTACCATGAATCAAAAGCAACCAGTGTTCACTAAAGCCCTTTTTTATGACGTGTGCCTTTTCAAAGAAAGTATTATGCCTATTGTTCAGGAAAAAATTGTTTGAACTTTGTGGCAAACATCATAATTAATATCCTTGCCTTACTTATTGTCATTTGTCATTTATCTAATTACTTAATTTCCATCCCTTTTCTTGTGTTTATGTACGCAAATAAGCATTGTGGTTTTATTTTTCTAATTTTAGAACTGCTCAGGAAGCTTCTTGTCTTTCTTTTTTTTTTTTTTTTCTTATTTGTCTTTGTCCTTTGTATCCAATAAAATTTTCTGACATTAAATGTCTGGTTTTCTGAAACTCATGTAGGTAATTTAGCTAAAACAAATAACGTCCTGGAGCTACCCCAGAAGATTGTGTAAAATAATAATTTCACCTAAATTATCTCTAAAACAGATTGAAAAATTATGGAAATTGTTTAAAACAATAAATGCCAGCCATACTTAAAGCATAATTCTGATTAATTTTGGGCAACTAAAGACAGTCCCAAGAGGACAGTTCAGTCCATTTGGTCAATACAACAGTAGTCAGTGTGTCTGCCCGCCTGGTCCTGAGACGCATTATGTAGGCAAAACTCTAGTAAATAAACATCTATTTGTAAATTCCTGAGATACTCTTCCAGTGATATATTAAGAGAAATTATCTGTAGATAGGGGTTCAAAGAAATTAAATGGTAAAATTTACACTTTTGCAAAGCAAGCTGTTTATTGATGGCATACACTAGCTAAACCCACAGAGTTCATGAAATAGCATTAAAATCAAACCTCATCACATATAAATTATAACATGATTTCCAACAAGAAATGAAGGTTAAAATAATGTGGTTGTAAAGCCAAAGAGGTATTAATGTTGAAAGTATTGTAATCCTTTACTTATTAAGTTTCAAATGTATGTAACCCACCTTTACATGAGAACATGCAGATACCAACATTCAAAGCTCCTACAAACAACAGGGACTGACTTACCCTGTCCATGGCCAGGCCAAGTGGTGCCCATGTATAACCCATCTTATATATCTTGTCCTTCCCTAAACTTTGAGCCGTGTCAGGAGAGCTCTGCCAGCCTATTCTGTCACTGATGTTGACAAAGCCATCATTATATATGTCATGGTCATATCTGGCACACTTGCAGTTTACACAACTTTTTCTGTAAAAAAAGCATAAAACAGTAAATGATTTTTATCAGTCTCTTTGAATCCAAACCTTTATGCAGTGTAGTCACTGTGCAGTTAAGTGTTTGAACTTTGAGTTCTACCTATAACATGCATTTTCAGAACAAGCACAGTGAGGTCAGATATATGCCAGATGTCAAAAATGATTTTTGTCTGTCATCTGAGAGAGAGAGAGAGAGAGAGAGAGGGGGGTGACATTGCATTCACAAAAGATGATCTGCAGACTAACTAGTCCACAGTTCAAATATGGCCAACCCGGCTTGAAAGCAATGCCACGTAACCCTCTAACAATCTCCCTACCTACCATAGGCACCATCTCTGCAGGAGCTAAGCAATTAAATCCCAGAGCTATTTTGATTTAGCTTTAATTGATAAGCCCTTGCAGGTAGGCAGAGAGACAATACAGTGATTATGCGGCATTGCTTTCAAGTGGGGTGGGCCATATTTGATCTGCAGACTGGTTAGTCCAAGAATCATCTGTTGTGAATGCACCCAGAGAGAGAGAGAGAGAGAGAGAGAGAGAGAGAGAGAGAGAGAGAGAGAGAGAGAGAGAGAGAGAGAAGAGAGATAAAAAA